AAAAAAAAAAAAAAAAAAAACAAACTATTCTCGTATATACACATATATCTTAAATGTCAAATAAATATAAGAGATTTCAAGTTAACACTGACTTTCAACCTTAACAAGTGCAGCAATCAGTTTATTATAAGGAAATAAACCTCATTTTACTTTAATCGAGTGTATCAATGTGCAGTGAAACTGTTGCGGAATTTCAATTAAAATATAAAAGTTATTGAATATATATATGTGGGCATGGTGGATGCTGATGTTGAGATTAAGATAATTTCCACAAAATCCTCAATTATTCTTCTCCAACCCAAAGCACTTGGTGAAACCTACAGTGGCAGTCCTTTTCTAGACATTTTTGAAATAGTGTTTTCCCATCTATCCAATCGATCCCGTTACTTGGCTTGCATACAGCTTAGTTATCATCTTGCGTGTGCACTCCTAAGCCGCTCATTCTGGCAACCTCACAAAATAGCGAAAGCGAAAATAATAATTCTGTTTGCGGCAGTAGCAGCGACAAAAAAACCTTCTCGTTGCATTGCTGTTGCGTGATAGTCGACATAACGCCTGTTTCACAAGTCGGACGTTTGACTTCTGCAGCAACGGCCTCAGGAAGGGATGTGAGCACAGGGGGCGGTGGGGGCAGTAGCGTTTTGGGCGATGGCGTTTCGCAGTTGGCCAGTAGTTTATTTCGTTTCGGTAGCAAAAAGCGTGGTGTTTGCATTTGCAACGCACAATGTCGACTGCAGTCATTAGGCGAGGGTCCATTAGGGCCTACTATAAAAACACATGGTTCTCTAGACCGGCTGTTACATCAACAGCAGCATACAGCGACATCGGGAGTGCGTTCTATTGGTGGTATGGTTGGCGGTGGAGGCAATGGCGCTCTACTAGGCTCAACAGATTCTCTTGGGGATGATGAAGACCAAAGAAAAGTGGACACAAATATACCTCCACGTCCTCCATCGCGAGGGGCTAAGCTGAATGCTCAACAAGTTAAGGAAGAATTTGACCGAGGTGTAGAAGTTGAAAAGTTTTATCATCAAATAAATGGCGATATATTTGAAATAACGCGCCGCGTTCGTGCTCGCGATGAAGACACATTTGAACAAAAACTTATCAAACGTAGAAATTCGAAACGCATACCGCCACACACGCCTTCTAGGCTTCCACAACCTTCTACTATACCCAAACATACACATTCACATTTCGACGGTCATCATCGCAAATGCAGTGATGAACAAAAACCTCAGTTGCCTCCGCGAAGACAAAAAAGTGCTGAAGAAGTGCCAGTTTCAAAACCTCCAACTCGTCCATCCGAAGAGTTAGAGTGGTTTGATCGGAAGGCGCAACAGAGACATTCCGCTCGATCAGCAGAGAGTGGAACTGTTCGGGATGAAACTATCGAATGGTTAGAGAAACAGCGCATACCGGCGCGCACTTCTTCAGGACCAAGTGAAATAACTGTACTCAAAGACGACATACCCGATTGGTTACTTGAGCATCTTCCCCGAAAACGCTCAATGGCTGAAAGAAAATCTTCCGAACCAAAAGCTACCACAAGCTCCTTTGCAAAATCTTTGAAAGAAGAATTAACGGAATTGCTTAAGAAACCGTTGTCGCGTCAAAGTTCTGGTCCTGGAGAGATTTCTTTATTGAAATCAGAAATTGTTGAATGGTTGACAAAACCAACAAAAGTACTAAGCGCACGTGAGGACACAGTAGTTGCAGCAACGCCAAGAAGATCGCATCACCGTCGGAATGGGAGCGGTGATACACCTCGATCGCATTCTCAGGAAGATGATAGTGCACAACAATCTCGTAAAAGGCATTCTTTCGGCTACAGTGACAGGAGTGAAGAAGAGGCGACTGATTGGATTGCCTATCCACTGAATCGTCTTCAGTCAATAGGTAAACCTCAAACTCAAGATAGACGCACTTCACATCAAAGCTTTGTAGAATTGCCTTACAAAACACAAGCGAATGCTGTTACTACCACTCATAAATTGCAAACACCAAATCAACCAATTCCACAAGTGTGTTCAGATCGTTGTCATTACGAACAGCGCTCTAAAGAACGGCGTCTTCGACATTCTGCTAGTGAGGTAGTTACGGTATCAACTACCTCTTCCGCTACAGCTAGCAATGTAGAACGTCTTTACGCTAAACCACATAAAGATCGATACGAATATGTGCCTAAAGATGAGATATTGCCACCGCAGTTACCACCAAAAGAATCGGTAAAAGTAAGCAAAGCCCATTCGACAACGTCACCACAATTACGGCCAAGCGAAGCAAAGCGAGATCGTTCCCGTCGTCATCAAACACAACGATCTGCTACGGTGTCTGATATGTCCAGTCCCCATGGTAGCGTGTACAAACGTAAATCGTCATCAGCTGAACGAGCCCCGCGATCTCCATCCCCGTGTATGGATCCATCCTGCCCTCTCTTACCTATTTGTACAGATCCCAACTGCCGTTTTCTTGATTATCAATCGATTGGGCGTAAAATTGCGCCATCAATATCAACAGCCAATCTAGCTCGAAATCAGCAAATAGCGAAAGCTCAAATGCATACCATACCTGCAAGTTTGGCCTTTGATAATGTTCCGGCGCAGCAAGCAACATCTGCTCAAGTTTCATCAGGAGTTTCAACTACTAAGCATCAACCCCAACAACGCAGATTAATTATATGTCACGATTGTCGATATTGTACCCCACAAAGCTGTCAAAACCGCAAGTGCTTAAACGCCACCAAGTGCAACTCACTGCCTCGCTGCGCCGCCGATTTTAATCGATTGCGTACCACTCTCACCCAATCACCTATTTCAATTTATGATATTGAACCAACTCCTTTGTTATCTCCGCCACCTAAAAAACGCAATGGACTTCTCCATCAACGCAGTAATTCCCAACCTAATACGCTACAGCGGGGAGATTCAAGGCCATTACTTTGGCATACAACGTCCAGTTCGACAGGTGAAACGAATCAAAAAGCAACACTAATTTCACAGAATGGTCGATGCCCATTGGCTACCGTAGGTAATGGTAAACTTATGAAGTCAGCATCGGCTGCCTCTCTTAATTCACGTAGGCGAAGACATAAAACTGTTCACTTTGGCGAAAATCTCTTGCGAGAAGTTTGTCAAAATCGTAAACTAATAAAAACTGAGCAAGTTCCGTCCGGTTCAGCGCCTATGAAATCCAACATTCAGCTGCTATATAACTTTGTCGAAGGTGTATTAAGTGCTTGGGTGGACGATGAAGATGAAGATGAAGTTCGTTCAGGAGCGGAATCAGAGCCTGAAAGCGGCACAATTGTACGTAGAACTAATAATCCATTACGCTTGCAACTTATCAAACGAATAGTTGAGGAGGCGGCAGAACTGCATGGGACATTGAAATTAGGCAACTCACGCTTTCGTCATCGGCATTGGCGCAGCACTGCAAAACAGTGCAACGAAATGTTTTTACGAAAGGTGAGTTTTACCGGAAAGAACGCTGCACGACTAAAACGGAGATAATTGGAAAAAAGAATAAAAATAAATTTTATAAAAGTAACAATAAAGTGCGATAAATTATAAAAAAAAATAAAAAATAAAAAAATAAAAATTTTAAAATTGATGGTAACTCTTGAATACTATTTTCATAGTTTTTCGCGTAATAAACAAAGCTAAAGGAATCAAAAAATTGTACGGTCACGCTACATATCTAGATTGGTATTGTTAATGCTAGCCTTAGCGTTCTACATATCAAACTATACTTAGCTATGCGTGAGGAAAGCAATTACATTGAATATAGCCATCGTAAAGCACCGACAATAAATCAATTTCTAATGCAATACTACCCAACGTAAACCATACATCAATCTCCGTGAGATTTATAATCACAATACTGCACAATGCAAAGTGATGTTGGTAGAACACAAAAATATTCATCTGGTATTTATTTGCTTTGCATTGCAGTCATTGTACGCGGTTCAGTTGGCCATATGCCATTGCCACTGCAATTCAACATGAAAACGCTTTTATATACTTTGAATTTTTGTAGTGGTTAGGATTCATAAGTGCTAGGCCGCTTCTAACTCAAAGCGCTCCACTACAACAAATTCTAAATAGAACATAACACAACTTGACTGGCCATAAAGCAACACAATTTATTAATAGTAAAGGTACTCGACCTCAGCATTATTATTATTATTATTATTAACATCAGCACCAACTAGCAGAACTAACACACTACTATCGCCAGCTCTTTTTACCAGAAGATTATGTGAACTTATGAAGGGCGTGTTGCAAGAGAAAGAGAAAGAGAAAGAGAGAGAGAGAGAGAAACAAAGAACGAAAGAGAGCGAGAGAGAGAGAGAGAGAGAGAGAGAGATTTGCGTTTAGTTGTTTCTTTAACTTTGCTTTCTTTTTTTTATTATGTTATAATTTTTACTTTTTCTTTTCTTCTTCTACTTCTTCCTCTTGTTCACTTCATATATAAAACACATAAACAATATTAAACCGAAACAGAGGGAAAATTATCGTGTGTATCTTTTAAATCGTTTTTTTTTTTTTTTTCTTTGTTTTTTGGCTTTTTTTTGGACTAGGACTAATTTGCCTAATTAAAGGAAAACTGAAATATTGCAAGCGAGAGTTAAACATTTCTCATTTTATCTGTCTTTAGATTTCCGACGATGACCATATGAGCTTGACTACAGCGGTATCGGATGAAGATGATGGCGAAAGTGTCATGGCGTCGCCTTACAAAGCTAAGACAACTGGAACAGCAGCTTCCTCATTTAATTGCACTGGCGCTGTGCGTAAAGCCGGGTGAGTAAGCAAAACTAATTGACGTAAAGCATAACAACTACTTACAAAGCAAAGTACTTTCAAAGTAAAACAATATAAAATTGCGTGCAGTTGAAGCTTAATTTTGAATTAGGCATCGTCAACAGGTTCAGTTGCATCCTTAATTGAATTAGACAAGTATGCTGTGCATTTCTTTTTTCCTTGCTTTTGGCTAACCGCAAATACTGCAAATAAGAAAATCGTATTATTAGTAATAAAACATTGATCAAAGTTCATGTATATGAGAAAATAGAATAATAAAATAACAATAATAAAATTATAAACCTATGCGTAACCTATTGCAAGTCTTGATAATGCGATATCATAGTCGATAATAAGTGGCATCGATGGCATATGTATGTTTGAAATATATGAGGATAAATATATAAAAATGTATGAGAATTCTTTAAGAGTATTTCCACTTTGTAATCCTTATCTGTAAAATTATCGTTTGGAAAAAACATGAAATCTTAAGAAATTTTTCTAGTCAGAAAAAAAGGGATATCTTTACTAAAACGGTTGACTTGATGGAGGAATGAAAAGCTCCATATTCAAATTACCGTTAGACTGTCTGATTCAATGCTGCTTAGTTATATTTTTCTCTTCCGAATTGTTATTAGTTCCGATACGTATTGCTTGCGCTTCTCAAATGAATCTCGTTAACTGAATGCTTCAAATAAATACACGTCAATTTTCTTTCAATAACTGGCAATATTTCAATTACGCTATAAATCTATTCAAAATTTTGAGAAGAAATTAAAGGTTAAATAAGTATATATATATGTGATTTCTCCTCTCTGCTTATTATATGTACGTTACGCTCTTATATTAGGACTTGTTATTATTTGTTTTAATGCAAAAAAAAAAAAATAAAAAAAATAAAAAAAAATAAACAATTAAAAACACATACACAACATTCCTATTTCCTCATTTATTAAAACACACAAACATGTATATATGTGAAATAATCTTATTTCATAGGTTTTTGTCGGTGAAGAAATGGCTTCTGAGAAAAAAGCATCAAATCGAATTAGCCCGGAAACGTGGCTGGAAGGGCTACTGGGTATGCTTAAAAGGGACTACCTTACTATTTTACCCTTGCGATTCACGTGAAGGCCGTAGCGTGGAGGCTGCTCCGAAACATTTAATTATAGTTGATGGCGCCATTATGCAACCCATACCAGAGCACCCCAGACGTGATTATATATTCTGTCTGAGCACCGCATTCGGCGATGCATATCTTTTCCAAGCACCCTGCCAGGTGAGTGTCTGACTGCAATTGGTATTTTTATTGCGGTTATTGTTGTTGTTGTTATTATTATTATTATTATTATTGTTGTTGTTGTTGTTCGTACTGTTGCCGTTGTTATTTTAATCACAATTGCATGTAGCGAAGGCTGAGTAGTACAATCCACCACGTAAGTAGTGTCAATAGCCTGTGGGATCTGGCAAAAGCAAAAAAATTTCACAAAAACAAGCCAACACTCATCGAATGAACGTAGCCGGGCATAAGGGCAAACGACAAAAGATGTATTTTATGATACACGTATACGTGTATATACGCATATAAGCAAATGTATATGCGTTGTGTTGCGTCTGACAATAGATATATCAATGATTTTTAAAGCAGGTGACACAGTGGTGTATATATATATATATATATATATATATATATATATATAATATGTATATATATTTATGTATATATGTAGCGGAAAAATACTTGTATTCATTTACATGCACATAGCTCTTGCCAGTTTTTTTTATATGAAAGCAAACATAGTTATAGCTTACGGCTTAAAAAGACAACAGAGATATTTTGTACAAAATTAAATCTTCAAGTATAAATGTTGCTATTGTTGTTGTAGTTGAATGTGGTTGTAATCAGTATAAGATTTCACTTGAAAAACTCATTCAGATATATTTCATTCAGATGTTGATAGCAATATAAAGCAAAGAATGTGCGTTGAAAATACTATATGTGTGTATATAAACATACATATATATGGGTTTTAGCTTGCTTAAATTTACATTTATATATATATATATATATATAAACGCCGAATGAGGTTATAACTAAATATTCTAGAGAAATATCCTTGAAGTTTCAACATTTTATATAAACTTTATAAAGGATATTCTTACAAAACTTGCGTACATTTATGTATAGTAAGTAATACCTGTATAGATGTGAGTATTACATTTCTCTCTTATATATGTATGGATATATATAATATGTTTATGTATGCGTGTGTGTATGTGTGTGTTTAAAAAACGCCTTCCAGCAAGTTAACTGCAAATGGTTGTATCTTCCGATTCTTAACCATTTCAATGGGATTCTAATGTCGCCGGATGTTTGCGGCGCGTAAAATGACCAATTCCCATAAAATATGTCCTTGTATATATATAAATATATCTATATATCTGTGTGTTTGTGTTTATGGATGCATACATATACTCATATAAATATATACATGCATATAGATACGCACATATGGGTAAATGAATATGTTTGAAATATTACGGCTTCCAAATGATGACTTAATGTATTACACTCTCACCCTTGTGTATGCATGTCCTTCGATACTTATGTAAACACACAGACAAGCGAACGCACATAAATGCATTTTGCAGGCTGGCAAATAGGCAAAGCCCCTGGCTGTACTGCATACATATACATATATTCATATATATATATATACATATATATATATACCATATATATATTATAACCATGAATCTGTATACTACCTACTAGTTTGAATAGAAAGAATGAGTTATACTTGAAAGGCAAAAAAAGCAAACAAAAAAAAAAAAAAAAAAAAAAACGGCCAACGAACGAACAACTTCTCTCCAATGTAATGCTGGTAAAATATAAAAGCATTATGCAAGAGAGTTCGTTGCTCGCGGTCATTTTTCACACAAATATAATGCAAAGTTTTAGTCACACGTATCCACTATATACGTATACATATATACATAAACGTATCTATAATCAGGAAGGATAAATATATGAGGAAACCTTGCACGGAATCAAAAACATGCACACATTTACACTAATGCATGGATACGCATACGTATATATAAGTGCACGAGTAAGCATAAACACCTTGAGCGTTGTTCTAATAAGAAAAGCAAATCTTTTAGCTCGCTTGTCTACACACATACGTATAAATGTTTATATGCACCTATTTACTATATTAACACAAATATATATATATATATATATATATATGCATATATATATATATATACATATATATATATATAGATACATACACTCTGGTTTATTATACTACTTAAACTACTGCCACGCAACCGGAGCTGAATGCACAATACGTGCCATATATTAACATTTCTATGTTGGTGGATAAATTTTATTTCATTTCTCTGCATGTCTAGACATGATGCTTATTTACTCTATGGGAGTTTAATTAAATTTATTTCATTAATATCTAACTAAGCGGGATCACCTTTTTCCATATATTAATACCAAGAATTCAATTTGAAATCCGAATCTGGAAGCATCTCATCATTTCGAATTATGTTTTCGAAATCCGACTGTTTTAATTAATGCGAATAAATTTTGTGCACGAAAAGCAAAAATTTGAATTTTTTATCACAATTCGAATGACTTTGAATGCACAATCGGACATAGCTTGCTCGGCATGAGCTAATAAATAATGGCAAATATTTTATGCAATCTCTTTGTCTTACACCTTTAAAAATTGTTTTTATACCAACGTAAGATATCTTCGACTATTGATCTAAACTCTTTTGCTCATTTTCCTAATGCAAAATGTTCAAGCCGTTTGCAAACCGCAAAAACTTGAGCTTAATTTTAATGGTTAAGGTTGAAGACTGCTATGGTTATGCGTCTTTAGAATGCATAAGTTCAATAGAAAGGAACAGGCCAAAGTTGAGTTTGAGATTGGATTTTCTTATATGTGAATAATTGAAGTTTTGCTCGCTCAACGCATTCAATAATTGTTTCATTATGTTACTGTAAATGTCCGCCTATTCATACTATTGTTAATTACATAAACTCATTAGCTTAATTTTAATTTATCTCAACGCCCATTACGCTACGGCTGCCAAGCTTAATTTTGCATCATTTTGGTTAACACCGTTTTTACGGCACCTATCAATTTGACGGATTCTCGAATTGAATCATTCGTCATGATAAAAGAAAGTCGATATCTTTAGATGTTATATATTGCGTTCTATTGATATAAAGCAACAGAAATATATATGTCTACGCCTCTCTTCTCAGACGCGAAAGTCATAGATGAAAATATGAAAGAGTTGTCCGTGTCGTCTGCGAGATCGTTTTAGTTTCCTCTGCATTGCGGGCGTGTCTCAATCGATTTATGCCAAATTTCCGACAAATTTTTTATCTTCATTCATGCGACTGCAACAATTTACAAAATTCATCCATCAAATTGACCGGTTTCCGTGAATTTAGTGTTAAACTAAGCGGCAATACGAGTATAAATTTTAATATAATTTTTGTGATTTTTCAATTATTATACCAATTTTCATCTTTCCCCATTTCACGGTTCTCATGTAGGTCGAGCTGGAAAACTGGGTGAACAGTATTCATAGCGCCTGTGCAGCAGCTTTCGCTAGACATCGCGGCAAAACAGGGACATTACACTTGCTGCAGGAAGAAATTTTTCGTTTAGAGAAAGCCATCGAATCGGTAAGTAGTGTTGTTAAATTTTTATAGCCATACACACGCTCTAACCGATATATGTTTACACATGTCAACGCATTGGGTAAACAGATCCCTAACGTGGATAATTAAAATTTTAATTTAAAATTTTTTACTATAAACTATTTAATTGGACATGCCTTCCCCCTTCTGATTAAAGTGAAATTAAAACAATAAAATTGCAACAATTTCGGAAAATCGATACTGCCAGTGAAAGCATCTAAGGCATCTAAATACTAAAAGAATTCTACCAAGCACAGATTGAAATGTAAACACATTAGAATATATAACATGATTCGCTAAGGATCTATTGATGAGTTGAGGGAAAGTTGCAAGAGACATTTTATCAGTTAATAAATATTTTTATTTTTAATTATGTTTACAAAGCAATTTCATCCTTACCAATATATACATATATATATATATATATATATATACATATATATATATACAAGAGATATATAACGCCTTAATATAGATTCAGTGGAGGAGGAATATTTGGGCAGCACTGAATTTTTTAACGCCCAGTAACAATATGTATATGACATTTCAGTATCAAAGACATAGCAAAAACATTTTCACATTAACAGTGTGTTATAATACCTACCGTAAGAAAAGTTCCTCTGATACCGGGTAGAATTCGAAATAGTTACAGAGAATCAGATAGTTCTTGAGTGCTTGATATTTCAATTTTCTATGATACTTTTGAAAGCGTTCTCCAACATGTAACGGTATCCCACAGGTTTTGTACATATATGTTTGTCCGCCTCTCACGTTGTTTTAATAGAATCAAACAATTGTTTTTGTAGATCAAATCGGGATACTCTTGTAAAAGATACGCTAAGTGCATTAGTTTCCACATCTTCGCCATGATAGGAGTTCCACATGAGCACACGCACACACGGTGTGCAATGTGTTAATCATATCATATCTTAAATCATACATATTTGATGCAAGTTGACTTCACGTCAGACTTAATCCTACAGCAGCACCTAAAGACTACATACGTACATACTCACAACAATTATTTAATAATTAAATAGACGCGCCACTGAACTGAATTTCTTGAATATTTTAATGCATTACGATAATGCGATACAATTCATTATTTATTTTTAGTATTACTTAGCGTATTATTATGGATAGGTAGTCCATCTCATACATAAGGAACTGCGACAACGTACACCATATGTAATTATGAATCGTTCACGATTTTTATTAATGACGCACAGATCAATGGTGAAAGTAGGACTAGTTGTATAAAGACCACATGCACACGACCCATGTAAAATGGATCGTAATTAATTTTTAATTCCTGTTTTATTTTTCGCAATTCACTCATTACTTAAAGGAACGCATAATACGCTTATTACGATCGGAATCATCATCACTGTATCACTAATGTTGAGGTGCTCCATTGAGTTTACGATATTAGAAAAAGAATTCCGCTTACTTGATACACTTTAAAACTTTTGACTCAAACGTAGTTAAGCTGCAGATCAGTTTGGGCCGGGAACCATGGAACATTGGAAATTTGAATCCGGAACAACGTCAATGTCAGTCTTATATACAATTTTCAATTTGACTTCAATTGTCCCGAAAAACAGTTTCAATAGATTACTAAATTTGCCGACTGTCGGCATGGACAAGACGACTAAATCAGCATATAATTTTCTTTAACGTATATATTTCTATGATGGAAGACTTTGTTGTAATAAGTGAAAAGCTGAGAAAAAGTGTAACTTTTGCTTTTAATGTTGTTTTTGTTTTTTTTTTTTTTGTTTTCTTTATAAAGTTTATTGAAAAGGAACATGTAATAACCGAATAGAGAAAGCGGAAATACTATTGAGTTGCCAAATGGATTCGTTGTGCTTTGATGCATACAGGCGAGCGTATATGTGTGTTAATAAAAACTTTACATATAGGCATCGAAATACGTGCAAACAAACAAAATAGATCCAAGATATAATTGCTAGCAACAGTCTTTAGGTCCCTCAAGCAATGCCCAATGCAGGAATGTGCGGCAACGGCAACAAAGAATGGCTTAATATTGCTGCATTCGTTTATTCAGTTGACTGACAATCAAAATCAGAGCAGAGTACAATCATTACGAAATTTTATAACCACAAACTCAAGTATAAACCAACAGCTTACTGACAGGCATTAAATCCACAAAACTCACTCATTCAACAGCAACTGCGGCAATGTGCAATTTTGGTTTTATCTCTTACATACATGTATACATTGATGCAAATGCATATACATAATATATATATAGATAAAATACGCAATGCGTAAATGCGTAGGTTACGGTATTGTAGAACAAGAATGTTTCTCTCGGAATCTCTCTTAAATATCTTTCGTTTTTTTTTTTTTTGTGTTTACGTTAATGCTTCCTCGTAATACTTTTCAACTTACCAGTTCCAAATCTAAATGATGCTTTTCCCCAAAATAATTTGACAGTATGATACTTCTTAAATAATCGCAAATATCAGAAGAAGTTGTTGTTGTTTTTTTTTTTTTTTTTTAGTGTTAAAAAAGTTTTAAAATTATTGTGCAATTTTACTTAGTGAAGAATTGATTAACTTTTCATACCTTACGCTGACAGAGAGTTCAGCTGCATATCTGTGCAATATCTAGAAGGACATGGAACTGACGTCACCTTTTGTTATGTCCAAACGATTCAAAAATCGTTTTCTAAATTGACTAAAGTTTGTTGGCTCACTTATTATTGCGTTCGATTTACAATACCATGTAAGAAATTCATTGCATATAGTTGCATGTAGATGTGGAATGTATTGGGTATGTGGCTATGACTCTGACTCTTTGCTAAGAGAAAATGCATACATTTCCTTATTCGAAAGTGTTCTGTTAAAGCTATCGGCGATTGTATAAGCTCTCATACTCACATGTACATGTACACAACATACGTTCTTGAAGTCAGAAATGTTGAACACTGGATGCTTTGCAGTAATACAGAGTAAGCGAGCTTTCAATGTCGCCGATAACGGCGGACTGATTTAGTGGAGTGAGTAAGGAAACCTAACAACAGCAACAGCTAACGCAGTTGGAACGAGAAATAAAAGTAATATGCCAAAAGTCACGATTACGTAAGTTTCCAGGTATGAGGAAATTCAGTCAGTTATATATAGCAAGAGTCGCTTAACAAATCTTTGCACTTTTAACTTGCAATGTCCCATCCATCCCGATGTTGTCAGCAAATATCACGATCTGCGATTGGCCAATACATCCAATAGATCACTTATTGTTTGTCGAAACGATGCTTACCATCTTAAGCTGATAGATGACGAGATGTTTGTTGTTTTGTGAATAGCCTCAAAAGAACAGGCGAACGGCCTACAGTTCTCGTTATCGAGTAAACTTAATATGGAATTTTAATTTTGTATTAATGGTACTTAATAAGCTCGATGCAAAATAGCGATCGAGTTTCAGGTTCAAAGGGAAAATGAAATAAAATATCGTTACACAAGCACATATTTGATCAAATTAATGAACGTAGAGAGATTACGTCCAAAGTGTTGGGAAAAATAATAGAAGAAAACAATTATTTTCAATGCATTTACCTGTTGGTGTCACAGAATACGAAAAGGGACCAACTGTTGCTGGATATATCAGAAGAGAAGGGAAAACACCAAATGAACAAAGAGAGACACAAGTTAAGAAGAAGGAACTTGACTAGTTAAGTAAAAAAGTTTATAATCAATTTACTAAACTTTGCTTTTTAATATTTTCACCAATCGTTTTAAAGACGTTGTCAAGATTCTCGACGCAATATTCCTACGGAGTATTTTTGCACAGTATCGGCCAATTTCATGTGAGGGACTATAAACGGAGGAGTCGTCTCCTCCATTATCTAAAATTTCCCACAATTTTGCAGTGCTCCTCACTGAATTTTGATTCGGTTAATGCATTGGCAACGCTTCTATAAGATATAAGGCACCAAAGCTCCAACAGATAGACGGAATCAACCATGAAAATACCAGTATGTTTGCAATGTAATCTTAAATTTCAATATGATTAAAACAATGTGCATATCAACAATTTCGGTATGTGTCGCTTACACGCCTCCTCATTCAATCGAAAGCGTTGGATGAAAATCTACAAAGCACACCTTTCCGTACGATGTAAATCCTATAGAGACGTGCACTCGAGGTGCCAAAGAGAAATGATTACTCTTAACCCTCAACAATCTCCTTAGGATGTGTACAAGATTATTATCCGCAGTTGCTACTCTACTGGCTGGCTTGCGGGCAACGATCAGATGAATATGAATATGAACGAATCCATCGGTTCTGTGGCATGAAATGAGACTATTAATCGATATGATGAAATTATACTTTCACTTATACTTACCTACTCTTCAGATTACATTTAAAATTTTGTTAAGCTTTATTTTATATTTTCCTTTAATATATACATATATATATATATATATATATATATAATGTGTAAATATTTCAATTTGTTCAGCAACATTCATTTTCCAAAACTTTCATATTTACTTTTTTTCTTGCTCTTCTTTCAATTATATTCTTAGAAATGCATCAATGATATGACGAATATTCGGTTGTAGTTCCAAACAAACTTGAGAAAGCCCAACTCGATGCGAAAGCATTCGAGTATCAGCAACTCAAAATGCGATCGTATCATAAAACAGTTCGATGATAAGAGCCGTAGACCGAACCCAATTGTCATCGTTCCGCATAGAAACAATAGTATTTCTAAAAGCTGACAGAAGTAATGCCAGCGAATAGACAATAATTCGTGATAGAATATCTCGTGGCATATTTTTTTTTATTTTTTTTTTTTTTATAATAACTCTTCAATGTTCATAAGAAAAATTGTGCGAATGCTATTCACACACCCAATATACACATCGACCAATTCGATCTTCGTTCTATTTAAGAATAATAAAAAAAACAATTGCGTATTAAAAAATTCCTTGATTACCACCGCGAAGGCGAACGTAGACTTTTCTACTCATTTCATAGTTTATGGCTATGGCAAATATATGTAATCTCAATGTCATTTATGTATTTTCGAAGAAATCTTTCGTAACCATCGAACACTGGTTCTCGTTTCCTTTTTACTTTTTTTCCTCTTCTATAATTTTTACAAATCTTCAGAGAAATAAGTGATCATTTTAGAACGATAAATGTAAAAAAAAAAAATAAAAAAAAATGTATAAGTAATATTAGACAACATGATTTATTTATGGGATGATGAAAATAAAAATTATGACGATGACAATAAAATAATAGAATTTCCATTAACTTTCCTTCAAGAATAGTCCTTATTTGTTGTTCACAATCATAATCAGTTCTTCAGTTTTACGTTCCTTTTGTCTGAGTTCGCGGACACAGCGTTTTTAACGTTAGTTATAAACTTAAAGCTTTAATGCCGGATTGTAAGCGGCGCGTTATATAACTCGTCCTTGCAAATGAAGATAAAAGCAAAAGCAAAATAAAAAAAAAAAAATAAAAAAAATAACAAAAAAAAACTCCAAAGTTTTTATGTCGTCTTCCGGAATGGATTTCCCGCCAAAACTGTACATTAAAGGAAGTAATTAAGACTACTTCCAGCCAAAAGGAAAAAGCACAACAAAGAGCACAACACCACTGAATGATGCAGCAGGGTACAGCTGCAGCAATCAACATAGCAAACAAGCATTAAAATTTATATAAATAAAAACCAGAAACAGACGCATAAACAAACCGAAAGCCCAGAAAGACAAATGAGCAGCATCATCACCAAAAACACAGTAAGAAACAAACTAAAACACAGAATATTGAAATAATAATAATAATAATAAAAGTATAAAAAAAAGGCGGAAAGCAGTAACAAAAATACAACCAAAAAACCAAAAAACAAAATTATTTTAACGATGACAAGTATACAAATATCATCGTAACCGCAGCACATGGATTTCAATTGTCAATGAAAGAACAGAACAGACAACAAGCACAAGCAGTTTTTTCATCATATAATCATAATAACGTTTGTCGTCGCCACATTGCACGCCGCCCATCTATACTTAATATAGGCTCAGTATAATATATCAAATTAAAAATTTTTCTTCAACTTTTCTCTCATCGATTATGATATTAACAATTAAGGACTGGAATGCACGCCTAGAAGCTAAGGTGGAACAAGCTCGTCGCAAATGTAAACGTCGGACTTCATATCTAAGAGAAATTGTGCACTAAGCCCTGTTATGCGTCCTAGCGGACATCCAGCCACTTCGGTTGGAAGCTTTAAAAATTAAGATTAAGCAAATAGTTGACATAGAAAACTGAAAATTTTAATTTCTATATTGACGCGGAGCGGCTTTGCAAATAGAGCATCAATCGAAGAAAAAAAAAAAAATTTCGAACAGTTGGAAAATCTTAAGAAAAAATTGATATGTTGTAAGTATTTTTTTTTTGTTACTTTACGCCGATTATACGCAAGGATCATCTTAAATAAAACTGAACTGTATTTAAATATGACATTGGCATGGATGACGTTTAAAACAGAAATTTGCAATTTTTATCCACTTCACCGATAGCAAAGCCATTATTATCGTAGATAACTTATGAGATAAGTAATGTTGACGAGATGTTAAGCATTCGCCACACGCCTAAGACACAGTTTGTTTAGTACAATTTAATGCTAGCTTTCGTATGATGACTTCAAAAAATTTCAAATCAATTTATTGCGAAATTTTTATTAGCAACGCAAATAGAAGAAAATTGCTAATCATTTCATACCGTTGTCATTTTTTTACCCGTCATCAAGGCATGAGAGGTATATTCGTTTTGCCAGCAAGCAGTAAGAAGCCGCAGAGACCCCGTTAAGCATATACCTTCCTGCTCAGCAACACATTCTAAATTGATTCAAGAATGTCCGCCTGTCTATCTGTCTGCGTAACGCATTTTCCTGATCGGAAAAATTCAGCATTCGTCTTCAAGTTCGGCACAAAGATTGAAAGTTTGCTTTAAATCAGTCAAAAGACAAGACCACAGTACAAGCTAACCTAAGATCATCTTTGTTTTCAAAACTGAAAAAAAATTTTTGTTTTTTTTTTGTCATCACTTTTAAACCATAAACGGACATTGCGGTAAAAACTTGCGTATATATTCGACGGATGGTCATCCAGCACTTATATAAAAATTGAAAATTCGGCCTTCTCAATACTGTCGAACATTAAAGATTCATTCGTTGAGCAAAACATTTGCAGAACCCAGAAAGAAGCATCACAGACTATACAAAAAGCTACATTTTATTGATTAGCATCGAACCTAACTTGTTCTAACAATATTTATCGGTCTGTCTATTCTTTGTCCTTTGTCCGTTAATTGCTACGGAAAATGTACTCGTGACCGCAATTGTGGAGATATCTGCCTCAAATTTGTCAAAAGCATTGGTAGTCATTGCGCACAAGTTGGTATTGAAAATGGGCCAAATCGGTAAAAGGATTCGCCCTTGCATTGTATTGTGAATGACTTTTTCTATCGGCTTTCTCGATTTCTTGTCCACTTTTATTCTACAAAAATAGTAGAAGAGACATCCACGTTTCCATTTTTTTGTAGTCCTTTCTAAGATAACGGTGTGGATGGGTATAAAAGATTCTATCACGACCGAATATAATTTTCTTACTTGTTTCCTTCTCTTTTTCAAATAAACAAAGAATTAACGAAGACAAAGTTTTACGATAAACTTTATTGTGGCAATGGTGAAAAGAAAACATAATCCTTTGAATGGAGGCACCTTCTGACATTGGTTTAACGGTTTTCACAAAATTGATTGATTAAAGTATCTACAATATTTTCAATAATTACAATAAAATTATAAAAAGTAACATAATGGGTTGTATAAAAAGTAAGATAAGAGATTTTTGTACTTTTGAAATGTTGAAGAGCGTGTTCGGAATTCGGCTCGAATTGCTTGCATGCACATAATACATACATATCAATATCTATCATACTAATACCACAAATTTAAGGAGTTTTCTTAAATGCACGCACTGACTTAAAACTTACTTTTCATCTTTATTTTCTTCTTTATTTTTTATATGCAGAGACTCACATACGCTCAACTACTGATGTACTAGCAGGAACGCATATAAATATATATATACCTACGTATTTATATACAGACACAATTCCTGCATACACATTTACATATATTTGGAAACGAATTAGAAGAATTGCACAATAAGTGTTGCCATGCTCCGGTTTTTACGCTCTAATTATTTTTAGCTTTCAATTTAATTTTCCTCCTTTTTCTGAAAGAAAGAAAAAAAAAA